AAAAACAACTTAGAATGGGACGTAAGTAGTAGCTCAAATCATAAATATTCTGAAGCTAGGTTTTAGCACTGGAGATAATACAGTGTATACTAGAAAACAAGAGTGCAAGAAAACGAAATGATTTTTCGAACACGTTTTGTATTACGTGATTATGATATTTAGGTCTAAATATCTAATGTATTTTAACTGTGAACAAGACGATAAAATGTATTTTATGTAATGCGAAATGAGTTAAATCAGATACAGGTAACGTTTCAACAGAGTCTAACAAAAACGGTGCGATTAAGTTATTGAACCGTTTTCAAATAGTGTACGTAACTTAACAAGAGTCGAGTACTATAAATTTCTATTCCCTGGAAACTTTCTCTTGTCTTTTCTGTGAAACGTTGAGTAGTAGTAGACTTAAAGAGACCCTTTCGTCCTGGGCTATGCCACATTAGGTACTGTTCTCACTTTGAGGCCACAATGGGACTGGAAATGTCTGAAAACCTTTAAAATCACGGTTGAGCCACCCTCCTCCTTACCCTCGGCTGGAGGTTTTTGGATCAGTATACTACCCATCCCTCCCTCAACCCAGCGTTAACACTAACTTATCGCTTGGGACAAAATGTTGGCTTAGCGGAGGGTAGGTGAGCTGATCTAACCTGCTCGCTTACCCCTCCCCTGATAAGATTCTGGAAAAGTACCCTCCTACCCCACCCTTAACACTAACTTCTCACTTAAGACAATATGGCTGCGCACCCTAGGACATGTTGAAGCAGGATTTGGCGGGGCATGTTCTTTTTTTCCCGTTATCTCCCCCTCCATGCAACAACACAGAGATTTTTTGTGAGTGCCCCCGGCTGGTTCGACTATCAATTCTGTTGCAATGAGAATCCCTCAGCAAAATTTTACCCCGCGACGTACCCCTAGATTTCAAAAAGTTGAACTTCATGCGATAAGTCGGGGGGGGATGGAGTGGTCGCCGGGGAAGCAGTGAAATCCCCGATCGTCTAGAATTTCCTGACATATGAAACACCGACATTAAATTCCTTCAACGCCTGAGGAGCTTGACCCCTCTGTCCTCTGCTTGCCTTTGCTGGTAGCTTCCTCCTCTGGTTCAAAACTTTTATTGGCGTAAGATGGCTCCGGCTGTCTGAATTGCACCAACGACTTTCTCTTCTTAAACTGCTGAGCACAGCTTTCCTGAGAATTGCTTTTGTCTGCTTTTCTTGATTCCGGGGGGAGCGTCTCCAAGAGCCTTTTTAGTTCCATCAAATGCTGTTCCCTCTAAATAACAAATTAAGATAATGAAAATGCGTGACAGAAAATTTCCCGCAAACTACGATTTATTTCGCATTTATTGCACAGGCCACCCACACAAGAGCAGACAATTAGTGTTGCTGTCGCCAAATTGGTTGACCTGCTGTCATTACAGCCCCTAGACTCGTATACTATACGAGTCTTAAGATGAGAACTTTTTTTGTGGCAGTTTGAGTGTAGGAAAACTATTGATCAAAAGAGCTTCTTATAACTTGAGGTGCGTTCACATTAGGGTATATGTGGGATCAATTTAAGTTTCTGGAAAACTGCCCACCTACCCCTCCCTAAGCTAACATTAACACTTACTTCTTACTTAAGACAAAATATTGGCTTAGGGGAGGGGTAGGTGGGCAGTTTCCCAGAAACCTTAATTAACTGATTAGAGCCCAGCGAGTGGGCGAGTGCAATTGTGTACATAGCCTTAGATCCGAGGTAATCCACTGCTTTACATATCCATACCTCTCTGCTACGCTGGAGTCTCAAACTGGTGTCCGACAAAGGGAAATGACGCACATAAATACACAGTTACTTGTCGGGTACCCGAGGTGTGAACACAACACCTTTTCGTTCTAGTACTAAGGCATTAGTGCTCGGGCTCCAAGTGTGAACAGCCCCTTAGAGGCTCCACTGTCTGCTTTGCCTTGTAGCTTATTAAAAACACGAGAGAGGCAATAGCACTCTAGTCGTCACCTGTTACTGCTCAAGTGATTAGCCTCTGAGCAGGTTTAAGTCCCCTTTCATACGTCGTGTTGGTGCCCTACAAGATGGCTTAGCTTAAGCGCGATTTCAGGGCGACGTGGATTAGAAGTCCAATTTAATTTCGTGGAAGAACCCATGCGCCATACCCATCCTTTGTATTTGGCGTTTTTCATCCATAAGTTGAGTCGATAGTACTGCGTTTAAAATGTGTCTAAGATCTTGTCCATTTCGGACACAACATGGCACGCAACTGAAGTCTGCAGGTCTCGTTTCTCGAAGCAAACCTTGAAATTCTATATATAGCGCTTTCTAGAAAGGGATTGGCGTGCAAAATATACTTCGACAAGATGGAGCGGTTAAAGGGTGTAAATTAAGGTGAACATGTATGGATCTTAAAGATGAAACTTCCTACACAGTTAGTTTTTGCGTTTTTCGGGCGTCAAAACGCAAGCGTGAGGAGCGCGTGGAGCGCAAAACACGCGCAAACTCGCATCGGCCTCAGCTGGCGCGAAAAACGCGAAAAAATAACGCATGTTCTGCGGGCTACAATTACGTTACCTGTGCTAACTGTTTTTTCAGTTGTGAGTTTTCCGTAATCATATTAGCAGCGTTTTTGTCCGTGCTGGAAAGTGATTCTGGATTGTTGCTTCGACGAGTCGTGCTAGCTTCAGTTCCACCGTCAGGGGACCACAGTTTTGTAACCTTCAAGATGTGTAAATAATAGATGAAAAATCATCTTGAATTCAGTTCAATAGGCAGGGGAAATGGCTTGCCGAAGGGGGGGGGCGGAAGGGGGGGTCGTGGGTTACTCGTACCCCTAAGAGGTACCTGCAATTCTTAATTAACAACTGAACTGATTTTGACATTTTTGTAGTAATGCTGACAGTACGGTTGAGTAACAAACAAATCTACATCATTTTCCACCCCGATGCCTAAAAGGACCCCAAAACGTTTAGGTCGTTAGCTGTAAAAATTGTGATGTTAAAAGTATATCGGCATTGATTGTGAAGAGTTTGTGCTTCACGAAAAATAGACTCTTTTTTCTTTTTTTTTTTTTCTTCCTCCCGATGAAAAATGTGTGTGACTTTCAAAACCGTGTAACATTCACGTTAAGCGTTAGTCGCCCAAAGCGTTTTTACTCATGCGGCCAACAGCTATACAAAGAGAACGTTTTCACATAGGGAAAAGAGCCACCCTGCGCAAGGGTGGCGCAGTTGTGAGAGCACTCGCCACCCACAAATGTGGCCCAAATCCCGGTGTCGACGCCATTTGTGGGTTAAGTTTTGTTGCTAGTTCTCTTCCTTGCTCCGCGAGGTTTTTTCTCCGGGTACTCCGGTTTTCCCCTCTCCTCAAAAACCAACATTTTCAAATCCCAGTTCGATCAGGAATCAGGTAGACGAAGAACCGCCGAGTGGATGTGCTGCCTCTAAAACATTATTTATTTATTGGAGTTTTGGGAAACCAATATGGCGGATCGTACGTGACGTTATGTGAAAACGCTCTATAAAAAGTCAGAATATTGAGAGCCATGGTTTGAGCACCTACATCCCCAAAGCCAATAAAATGTCTATCAGACCTCCGAAGTTCACCTTTGCTTACCTTGGGCAAAAATACAAAGCATAGGGTCAGTGTAGTGCAGAAGATGGTGAAGACGGCTGTTATGGCAAACGTTGCGTCTTGGTGATCTCTAATGATAGACGTGATTGCCACGCCCAAGATGGAGAGTATAACCACATTATAAACAGACATGCCTGAAACAAAAACAAGAGATGAGAAGGGGTAATTAAGGAGAACCGCTCTGGGCGGATGCAGAAAATTCATAAAGTGGTGTCCGGGACCATTGCCAGCTATGTAGATAATTTGTAGAAGAAGAATGCTAGAAATAATAGAAAAATAGCAGAAAAAAGGGGGGACGCAGAAGTTCAGGTTGATGTACACTTCGACCGATCACGGACACAACGCGGTAAAGGGTTTCGTTGTGCTGGTCACAAGCACTTAACTTCTTAACTAAAATTTTGTCCTTCTCGTTCATCTTCGTCCATCTCTTTCCAATTTCAAAACTCTCTTCTTTTCGGGCCCTTCACTCCTTTCAATTCGTGGTGATATACCAAATGCAAAATTTAGAAATGACGTACAATGAAATGCAGTGCAATCATGAGACTTTGAACTCGGAGAGCTCGGACGCGATGGTCGCATTTTCATAGATACGATACGATGACGTTTGACAACATCAGTGCGATGGCGGCAAAGAAATCAACCAAAAAGTGTGCTGCACTTTCAGAGTTTTTGTTTTGCATATTAAACCTATTACATTTTCGATTTTCTCGGTTCCCTCGTCGTCGACGTAAAAGTTCAAGCTTTCTAGTAGAGTAAGCACGCAAAACAATTCTTGATATGCGACGATTTTGTTGAAAAAACCGACCATTTGATGAAAAACGCGCGACGAAAAAGACCTCCACAGTTACCAATAAAGAGGCTCCAATTATATTAAATGTAAAAACAACACATTCCTTTGAGACAAACGATCATTTTCGAACTGGACGCCCATGTTTCAGCTGTAAGGCACAACGAAAAATTCATTTTGCTGATCTCAACTCGCCTATTACCACGTTAACACTGTTGCAATACTGTTTACCATAATTTCGGTAATTTCGGCGCGGTTTCTGTGAGGGAGCGGGGGTGCGCCGCGACGATATCTAAAGTGGAGAGTAACACATCGGATAGAACATAGCCTTAGAGTGCATTCAACAGGGACGGATCTAGGGGGAGGGTGCAGGGGGTACGCACCCCCTCCCCCCTGAGGTGACCTGCGGCTTTCTAAAACAACTGGTACTCTGTATTAAAATTTGTTTACGTCACCAGTCAGTTACGTCATTCTTAAATGGTGCACCCCCTCCGAAGAAAAATCCTGGATCTGCCCCCGTTCAAGTTTGTAAGTTTAAAACTTCAAGGAAAGCTCGGCGCATCTTCCGAACTCGCCAACAGTAGATAATAGGATTATGGAGAGATCTGAACAGCAATGATGTTATGGTCCATTTCCACAGAATTGTCCTTGCATTCGGCTCCATAGCGCTGTCTGAAATAGCTTTCCACAGAAACATTTGGGACGGACAGGTGGTGAAGACCAATGCAGCTAAAACCATTGCAACTGTGGTGGTTGAGCGACGATCTTTTTTCGCTTTTCTTGCTTCTTCGTAAGTTACTTGCTCGTTTTGGATGCGTTTTTTTATGACGTTTTGTTTCTAAACACATGTATACATTTGCGTAACTTGCAACAGCGAGGTAAAAGATGCCTATGATTGCTGCGGAGCGACCGAAGGGAGCGAGCAGCAACATAATCAGGATTTAAAGGAAATATATAAGGGGCGACGAATTCTCGAAGTCATCACTTTTTACCACAATGCATTGCATTTAACGACACTTTTTACCACAATGCATTGCATTTAACCAGAATGCGTTGCGCCACGAACAACTCAAATAAAAACACGGGGAAGTTCGGTGGGTGAGAGAGTGCATCGTTCGCTGCTCAGACTTAGAGTTTTCTTTGTGGCAAATTTTCTACAGCACGGTTAGAGGTCTTACCAAATTTTAAGACACGCAGGAGTCTTTCAGATGAGTACGAGGGTTAACTTGGGGATTGGATTTCAATTCAAGAGCCTTTTTGACTCGTCCAGGGGCGCGATCCATTCAACCAAAATTCTAACCGGTCCGACCGGGAAAAGAGGACCACCTCAAAAGGTGGACCCGTTTTTTCGAAACTTTTCCGGTTGGACCGAACCGATCCATTGAGTTTTGGACCGAAATTTCCGGAAAGTTTGGTTGAATGGATCGCGCCCCAGGTGTTAAACCTGACGAGAAGATGAGCATTTGCTATTATGCTTCGACTTCGCAACACGGGGGATATACAAATTCCAGCTTGCTAGAAGGTGATGTGAAAGTGAGAAAATGTCATGCAATGCTATTCTTAAGAAACTGTATGAGCCGAAAATGGATGTGATTTTGACCATTCGCTTCAAAATAACAGCGGAAATCGAGATAACAAAACATATGTTTTGTGTCCTATTTTGCAGACGAGGACGTGTATCGGCGTTTTGAAAAGCATAATTATGTTCTTTCATTCATTTATTGCCATGGAATATGCGTTTACATTGTTTTTTCACTGTCAATAGCTCGGTTAATGCGGCTGGTGATCATCTTGCCGGCGGAAGTTTCATGGAAAAGGAATAAAATGAAAGACTTTTCCTACTGACTACGTAGGCAGTCTCTGTGTGTAGTGGTTAGGTGTAGTCGCTTTGAGTCGAAGGTGCCGGTTTCGAACCCTACTGAAGTATCTATTCCATCCTTCTTTTTTTTCCCGTTTTTTGTGTTGTTGTTTTCTATAAAATTATAGCTAAATAACTGTTACTTAATTAAGTGCAACAAACAGCAAGAAAAGTATTGTGTTTCCAGAGAAAATATCGTGCACCGTATATTAAATATATGGATAAACGATCTGATTTCTATTATTTCCTACAATTTACCGTGGGAAAACCAGAGTTGATAACCACTTGATCATTTTCTAAACAACGTTCCCACGAGTTCTTTCTATAGACTGATAGTAATTATTCTAGTACTTTCCAACATGTAAATAGGACATTCAATGTCATTTTTGATTCTTTTAAGTCTCACTGCCTAACTAATGCCAGTATCAACAGAATGTGCCGCAGCATTACTATATTTTAGATACCCTAGTTAAATACACTACATTAAGTGCACGCAAATAGGAAGAGAAAAACTCATTTCTGGTGTCAGCTACAGCTATGATAGTTTCTTGAGTCATGACAAGCACAGCAAAGGCCCAAGCCAGCAAAACTCCGGTTTTCAGCCATTTTCTTGTCACAATGTCCGAATACCTCAAAGAATACTTAATCGCAATATAACGCTCTACGCTGATCATCACAAGGTGATCAATGAAAGCAAGAACAACGCTCGTTAGTGTTGTTATAAATATCTTCTCTAAATCCCAAAAAGGACCCACGCCGAAGATTTCCGCTAAATTTAAAGCCACTTCTATCGGCTGCAGAATCATCCCACATAACAGAACTGTTACCGCCAAACATGCCAGAAGAATATTGGCATTTGATTGGAGTGGACGCCTTGTTGACACTGCAAATATGACTAGGGCATTTAACAAAACGGTTGGCACCACTGCGATCGAATTTAAAATAGTGACAGCTATTTGGTTTCTGTACAAGTCTTCCGTGACGTTTTCCCTTGCCTCTATACAGGTAACTGCGAAACGCCCGGGCTGAATCGAAAGAAGTCGAACGCGTCATTTTGCTCCCGACTGGGAAGGAAGCGAGGAGGAGAAGTGAGCTTTAAAAATACTGACCACCTGACGTTTCACAATTTCAAGTTTTGCTGCTATTCAAAGCAAGCAAATTAAAAAGCTTTCTGGACTCTTCAAGTTGGTGTTTACAAATCACTTAAACACTCAATATTGATGTTGCTTTTTCAGTGAATCTCCAGTCATATTGGAAATGTATGCATTAGCCAAAAACCCCCACAATGGCCTTTTTTCCCTTCATTCCATTGTTGTGTTTAAACTAGCATTATTTTGGGTGTGAACATTCAAGCAAACGTTTATTGAAATGAGGGGAAACAAAAGAATTGACGTCATTTGAACAATTTAACCTAAAAACTCAAGTATTATGATTTAAAGAAATAGATCGCCCGGAACAGACAGTTTGTTTCAAGTTACCCTTTTTCGATATAATTTCGTCAAATTTGCTTAATTCAGTCTGAAACGACCAATTTGTTTCAAAATTGGCCTTTCTCGATACAAAATTTGTCACATTTACTGAAATAAGCATGGAAAAGGTTTGAAAACTGAAGGAAAAACAATCCTCATGTTTTTTCTTAACATTCTGAGAAAAGACTTATACATTTAACATTTTTAAGGAAATTTGATCAGAATGAAAAAATACCACATCTGAAATTTCAACCAAAATATTTTCGTGCTGTCAAATAGTAAAGAGGGCCCCCCAAAAGATTTTTTTCGGAAACTGGATACTGATGTTCCTTATTTGAAGCGGGATTCGGGATTTTAAAGCGAAATGGGGAAATGGGGACAAGATTCGGGACTGAAAATATGCACGATATGTGGAATGCCAAAAATAACCATCGGGATCGAGATGACGGGATTGAAGAACCCTAGCGGGCCCCTCAACAAAACCTTCTTGTTTTACTTAAACATGAAAAATCCCTGGGATTTATGAAGATCTACGCACCTATATAACGCGAGTCGTTGAGAGCAGGTATAGTTACTCCACGTGTTTCCCACGCGAGGAACACACCAAAAACAAGTAAAAGCCCTTTAAACGCGTACACCGCTCCCAGCCAATAGGAAAGCCTCTCAGATTCGCAGTGTTCCAACACTGGAATGATTTCTTTATCGTCTTCAAAGCGCATCTGCAGAAACACAGTCAATCACCCAAGAAACTAATTAGAATTACGAGTGTTTCTATCGATTGAAAATTACAGCAAATAAAGGAAACCAAACATTACATTTTCTACAGTTAGTATGTACCCAATAGTGACATGTAGTGAGGCAACCTCGTCCCCAGCCCTGGAAACCAGCCTCGTCCCGAGGGAAAATCCCAGAAGGGTACACCGTATCAAAAACAGATCAACAATGTTTGCTTAAGTGTAAAAATGAATGAGGGGTCATTTGTTTTTGTGTCCTTTTGAGTTAAGGCAGGTTATACGAACAAGGACCGTTCCAGTTTCCAAAACCATTAAAAGAAGTTCAACTCCTTTTTTAAAATATCCTGTGTATACTTGGCTAGTCATTGAACAGCGTCTCGCAAGGCCTTCTGGGTCAGTGCATTTCCGTGACGTATTGGAAACGAACGATCGACAACGTAATCCGAAACTCGGCCTAGAGGACTAGAAAATACCCTTACCGCGCTAGCCCGTCTCTGAAGCAACCCTTTTTGTCTTGTGACTCAACGCATTAGCGTTGTGTGACGAGACTAACACGGCTTCGTAGGAGACTACACGCCCAATAGACTAACCCAAATCAATCCTGGTTGTTATTACCTTATTTTCTAATTGCTGATATCCAGTATGCATTGGTTCGATTCCTGTCCACAAGGAGAGAAGAAAAATGTCCAGCAACACAAAAGCTGCCACTATCAGGAACAAATGCTCGTCACGGATTACCTAGAAAAATATCAGGTAACGTCCATGAGATGTAATTGGTAGAAAGGAGGGAGTGGAAAGAGAAAAATGAAACAAGGGAAATGTTGGTTACTAGCAATAGTCTCATCATCGCAGTCCTGAAAAAAACAATCAGCGGTCTTCTATTTATAGATTTTTTCCCTTGGGAATACTTAACAATCTCCCTGTTACGTAACTGAATCGCTTCAATTACATCGCCGATGAAGTTCGAGCAATTCGAAAGAAATATTTGATTTGCTCAGACACATGATTTGTTTCAGGCTATTTTGCTCTGAATTTTGGAATTTGCTTGTTAAAATTCTTCGCCAGAGAAGATGAACAAACTGGTAAGATTTAAAGGAGTTCCAGAGATTATGTCTACAAATAGTCGCATACCCGACTGCTTAAAACAGACCTTGCCTAGCTGTTGGCTATCTTTCGCGATATGCCTAATACCTTACGCATGTGCACAGCTGTATCAGCCCTGCAGCGGCGGCCTGGCACAGTTGCTTCGTCCTTGATGGCTATCAGTGACTCAGGTGCTTGCCGAACTTTTGAAATGTTGGTTCATGGCCTAACTAAATCGAAATCGAGAGAAAAAAATGTTTTTCGCTCCAGAACTTTACTTTGACCGCCCGCGCAAAAATACGGGCTGTTTTCCAGTCTACCAAACTTCCTATAACCCCAAAATCTATGATACAGACACCTTTGTAATGCGGAAACCGCAATTAGCTGATTGCCCTTTTGGTATCCGCAGAAGGCTGGCTACCACGAAGAGCTACAGCATCTTGTGGCCGCCTTGAAAATCTACTCGCTCACTATTAAGAACTCACCTTCTTTTTCGGGGTAATGCTTTTAAAAATGGCGTGTACGCGCCATGTCTTAGCGAACATTGCACCAAATGCCAGAGTAAAACCAACGGACATGATCCAGGCTCGAGCCTTCAAACGAAAAAAACTCACTCATGTAAGTGAATCCAAGACAGACTTGGAATCTGGATTCCACGCCGTGGATTCCAGATTCCAGGTACTGGATTCCTGATATTTTTTCAGTAGAATCCAATTGTAAGTGGAATTCCGGATTTCTTGAGCTGTATTCTGGACTCCAAAGCCCAGGATACCGGATTCAAATTTCGCTTATTCCGGAATCCGTAGCTCCTTATATGAGGCAAAAGAACCGGTAATTCGGTAAAAATTCCATCCTGATGAAAAAAAAAAACTCACAAAAGCATTCACTTCAGATTTAAAAGACAAGCTGACCAGGGAGCGAAAACTTTGAAATGAAGTACTATTAGCTCGGTAAAACGGTTTTTGAAAATTAAAGTTCGATGGCTTGATTATTTCTGCGAATTTTAACAACAAAGTTTGAAATTGATGTTTGCGCGCGTTTATGAACGTTTTTTTTGTTGTTGTTTTAAGTCATAACGGCATCGTTTGCAAGAGTAACCGGCGTTCAGTTTTTGTCTCCTTTTTTCACTGCGGGGAGATTTAGGGAGGGGATGGTCGGGGGCTACAAAAAGAGGAGCTTTGTTCACAACCAAAGCGGTTATAACAGCGTATAACATAAAAAACAAACTGAGAATGGTAAGCCTGTGCTTTTTGCAGAGCTTGACACCAACCACAGTAAATTAGCTTCGAGTTCTTCCGAGGTCTTCAATGGATTTTTGATATGTTATAGCTTAATAAAATTTTGCGGGAGTTAATTCCTATCCGCACTAACTTGCTTACAATGCACACTTGACCGTATCGCTTGGTAGGTACCAGTCCACCGTCTAGCCCGAACAGGATCACGGAGAAATACGTCAAAATACAACCCGCCACGATCACGTTGTTAAGACGTGGACTCGACATCTTAATTATTCTGCAAAACATAAAGTACTCGTTTAATAACACACTTAAAAAGTGTTTCCCACCAACCCTGGCATCATTCCTTACTTCCAGGTCACGTGACATCTAACTATGAACAGTCTCCCACCAAAAGTCTTTGAGCAGACCTATTACATCAAAGGGTAGAATCGGATCTACTAACATCATTTCTGTGTTATAGAATACATTATTTAAAATGAGATTTCTTATGGCTCACTTTTCAGCGTAAGACAGAGTACAGTCTGGGTCCGAGATTACTACCTCACCTTCTCTCACGATATAAAAAGTTTATTAGGAGAAAGAAAATTCCCAATAGCATTCCTAGCACAGCTACGAAGGCCATAAAAGCAAACAATCCTGTAGCGATGGACTTAAGCTCCGTTTCTCGAACAGTTCGATCGCTTGGAGGGCCAGCCCCTGGCAAAAAGAACAATAATTAAAATAAGGTTATTCCAGGAACCCATTCAACACTTTAGAAACGAGAAGGAAAGCAAAGACTTCTGGGGCTGTTACTATGGACACAGGGGGAAAATTGGCCAATAGCTGACCGGCGCGACCCCAGTAACGATCGCAGAAACAATTACGCGACGCAGCCTCGTACCCAGGCCACTTCGCGCTATCCGAATGACCGGAGGAGGCTTGGAACCGAGTGCGATAGCTCGGCGAACTTTCCCGACAAGCTTGACGGTTGACGTCACATCCGAAATCGCCGAGGACGACTGGGAACGAGGCTGTACGCGACGCATTTCGGCTTCAGTTCCAGTGGCAAACAGTCCGGAAAAACTTTGATGTGTATGTGTCAGGGAGTTTTCCACACCGGTTCATTTTTACATCCATCACGCATGGTAAAATTTCCCCAAACCAGTCAGCAAACCGTACAGACCAAATACAGAGTATTTTGACGTTTTACTGAAATTTAATTTTCTTTTGTAACATTTCAGATTTCGGATTTTTACATATAGGTAACGAAGGTTCCACTTCCATGACAAAAAAGACTCTTAAATATGTCTACAAAATAAACGGGTCTTTACAAACACCGAAAATTCTACCATCTATGTAAGAATTCGGGCTTGGTCCCTTCTCTTCAGCTCCAACCTAAATTTCCTTCTTTTAAGCAACTGGGCACCTTGGAATAATCGCGAAAAAAGTGAAAGGATGCGAAGTCTATTTTCAGCGACGTTTTCATGGACGTCGCCGTTGTCGGATCGTAAGGTCCCTATTAAAGCAGGCGCCGGCTACAAACTCGGGATAAGACCATATATCAAAAGGTTAGGGTTACAGGGGTTCATCCGATCCGGTCTGACTACAAAGGGACCATATAGTTAATGAGCCATTTGCACGATGGCGTCATTTTAGTACTACCACCAGAATTCTTTTAGTGTTTCTTTTCATATTTAAATTTGGTAGCCCTGAGTGAGGTTTCGATAACAAGAGCCCTTAATTGCGCAAGAAAGCAAAACCCTGAAGGATCCTGGTCATAGTAGTAACAAGACGTCAGCAAGCAAACGGTCCCATGAAATTAGGGTACCTAACAAATTATTCACTAATGTGCAATCAGATACGTGAATAATAACAATAATAATAATAATAATAATAATAATAAGCTTCTCATTGAATTGGTCAACACGTGTCACACAAAACCAACCTTGCCATTTGATTGGCTCTTTCCTGTTCATCATGATAGAATCGGTTGTAACATCGTACACACCAACTCGCTTACTTTCACCACCTGACAAAGAAGGCCGGATAAGCCGTTTACGAATTGCGCGAATCTAGAATATTTTATAACAAAGGATTCTGTTCAGAAACAGTTTTCTTTAAGACATCTCTCTTGCCTCATGTAACGGGTTCCGAATCCCGGAATCAGGGAATTTTTTGCTTGTGGAATCCGGATTCTGGAATAAAATTCAAGAGTCTGGAATCCCACTAAGGTGGAATCCAGAATCCAAGTTCAACTGACAAAGAATTCGAAATCCAGTTTCTAAAATTCGGAATCCATGGCGTGGAATCCAGAATCTAGGTTGTCCTTGGATTTCTTTGCATGCAGGGAGCGATATATCAGCTTAGGAATTAACTGAAGATCCAGTGGGGTTGTTGGAGGGGGGTATCCCAAAATCCAGATCCTCTTGATGAAGTCTTAAAATCATAGATATACACTGTATTGTTCACTTGGTAATTTGTTTCTACAATAGAAACAATAGTAACAATTGAAACTGAAAAGACTACCATGGATTTATGACACGATGGCATAAAACATTTATCTTGTAATTCATGAATGAAACCTGAAAATAACAGCCTCTTTATACTGAAACACATTCATAGCAGAACTTCCACTGCTAGAGAATTAGGAAACCCATGGATGTGAGATAAAATTTTGTCATGACGTCAGCGTAGGGCCGTCTGTCCGTCCGTGCAGACTCGCAGGGCGGGGGAAGGGAGACGCTGTAAGGGAGGGGACGAAAACCCCAAAAATGTAAGTTGCATTTCTATTGGCGAAAAGCAAACCAGCTTAAATCGTTATATTATTCAAATTCCTTTATCATGCCGTTCACTAGAAACATAGAATGGGCAAGGAAGGGTGAAACTTTGTCCCCCAACCCACTCCCTCCCCCCTCAGAAAAAATCTCTAGATTACTACTTCGGACAACTTGATGAACACCTTGATGAATCGGGCTTCTACTTTAGAACTCGAGGAACAACTGCTTCTACTCGGTGATAGATAGAGTGAATCTGTTATTATGTCTGAATGATGGGCTTGAGTCCAACAGTTTCTTATCCCAAAATGTCTTACCTTGCAGTTGCTCAAATTGAATGTATCCAACTCGCTCGCCATACTTTGTAAAGGAAACCGGGCCCTAGAATTAACAAAAACAGATGGGTTTATGTTGTGTCACAAAGACAAATTACCAAAACCTACAACTTATAAACCACCGTGACCATAGCAGTTAAGTAACGTTTGGAGCGGGATAATTAACAAAACTGCCTCTAATGGCGGACAATCTTCAGTGAATCTTTTGACAATGTTCATTTAACTATTAACATCATTACTACATAAACTATTTGTGGAGGAAAAGATAAGAATTGTTATTACAGAAAGTTAAGCCCCTTTTCCAGGGGAAATGGTAATATTGAGATCTATCGTTCTGACTTTGATTTTGCGTCCTACGAGGGCTCTTTAAATGGCAAAACTAGAAACTACGCAGCAGATAATATCCTATCGATTTGCGATTCTAATCACCATCCTCCCATCCTCTTGACTCTTCAATCATAAAATTACCGTGACTCCCAGGAAGCTGGTGTTGTGGAATATTTCTTCAAATAAATCCGCCATTTCTTCGTCTGCGTAAGTAAAATTCTCCAAGGCTTTCCCTCTCTCTTGAATTGAAACCAGTAAACGTTATTAGAAACTAGGTTAGAGATAGAACTAGCCCACATTTTCTCTCCCACATTCTCTCACAATGTTTTTACGAGCTGCCGATTGGCCCACAGCCAACTACTACAGTAGTCGCACTGTAAATCGACTATAGAAATGACGCTAAAATGTTCTTTACTCGCAATGTTTTGAACATAAGAGTATAGACCATTGAAAGTTGTCTATTTGTTTTTGTACAAAAACATTGACAGTTTTTGACGTCCATTTCTGCTGAAAATCGCGCGCGAAATACGGTCACAGTGCACTCTTACCGACCAAAGCTCTCGACCAATCAGTATACCACCTTGTTTCGAAATCTACCTGCGAGCCGCTGTGCAGAAGCATTCAGCACCAAGGCTATGGCCCAGGCTGCGTCATATGCGAAAGAGGACTCGTGCCGAGCAATGATTCCGGTCAGATTCTTGAACTTGATAGCGTACTCCTGGGCTGTCTAGAAAGAGTAAACAATGTACAAAAATATGCAGGAATTAGGTAAGCCATGAAGTTAAACGCATCTTATATTTCGGACTCAAAACTGAAGTCTCTTATCTTAATCGAGGTCAGAGTTTGAGTGTCTTGGTGGCACACTACCATTCAAGCTTCCCTTCAGTGCCCCCTTCCCCACCCCCCTCCCCCCAACTGGCCAACCGTCATGTTTCACAATATGCTCAAGTGAAAAGGTAATTGGTGATATCAGGAATAAAACGTGAGGCTTTGAATTTCTTAAAATCACTTTTCCATTAACTAGTCTAACAGAACAAGATTTCTCACCCATCCAGATACTGTTTTGTGCTTTGAAGTGGCATCGTCCTCGTTGAGTTTCATGTGATCTGTAGCCAAATATCCTTCCACCGCTTCACCCATCTCACGTGTAGTGCACGTGATGTGATCTTCATTTAGCTTGGTCTCCCACCACTTATCCTCGTACCAGCCTATAATAATCCATACATATCGCTTGCCGTACATGCGCTGTTTGTATGCCTAGAGAGAATGTATATGCGTATAGATACAGTAGTATATATTTAATTTGATAGAAAAAAAATCTTGCTCGAAGGAGCAGTAAGTTCATGAAATCCTTTGGTACTGCAGACCATATAAACGCAATCGCTTGCCAGTAACAACATTAAAGGCCCTGATCGTAATGTTTTTATATTAAAGGAGGGTCTTAGGGTTAACCGTCAGTCGTCAAAGGGCCTAAAATGTAATCATCAACCGTCAAAAAAGGTTATCTTTTACCGTCGTCAAAAAGTTTCAAGGTATTTCAAATCTCTCTATTTCAGCTGATCTTCACGGACCTCTGGCTCCTGAAGAATCTTCAAACTAAAAAAACAGTTCCTTTATTCTCAAGAACACTCTTTCTAGTCAATGCAAGACCTCAGAACTTGCTTATATCTAAAAATGTTCTAAATTCTATCGGTGTATAAAGACCAAGACAACCTCCAAAACACAACAGTTAATTTCAACTTATTCAGAAGGAAACATTTACTGAAACTCTTGGACTAATTTTCCACTTTATAACTGTCAACTGTCAAAAGCTCTAAAATTTAACAGGGGCACCCAACGACAATTTTCGGAAAACATCTGTTTGGAAGACGATTTCAGATCTAGAATTTTCGGAACATTTTTTGCAAAATTTCTTGCTTGCCTGCCTCTCCTAGGATTTTCGAACATCTAAAAAATGGTATAACTGCCCATTTTTAACGGATTTTTACGCTAAAAAGGTCATCCACAATTTTCGGAAGCCTCTTTTCTGGCTAAAATTTTCGAAAAGGTAAGTTCTGATTCCCATAATTTTCGAATCACTAGACTTTCAGCTAGGAAATCCGAACAGATCAAAAATTTTTAGGGGATAAAAATATGCCTATATTTACCGTTTAAATACTTTTGAGCTATATTCTCGTTGGGTGCCCCTGATTTAACCGTCAACCGTCAAAGTTACCACCCTGACACCCTCTTAAAAGGTTATCAATTTAACTTGTAATAGAGCGTAGTTTGCGGATACGCAAATTTTAAATGTGAACAAAAGAAAACGTTTACATATGAAAGGTTTTCAACTCCCACAGGACTGCTTTGGAACACTAATATGGCTGCTGTGACGTCACGTGCAAACCACCAATACAATATGACCGATGTGACGTCATGTAAAAACCCTCTATAATCATTCTTGAAGACAAATCGTACCTCACAAAAAACATGTTTTGCTTGAACCACGTAAAAGCTACCGATGATGATTCTGGCGTCTTTCTTCTGCAAGATGACAAAACAACATTTTGAAGCATTTATTGCGACTCAGATTTCGACAGATATTCAAAAGAGTTTACTTGTGACGTGCTTATCTGGTATCTGGAGATGTATCATTACGTTCAGTCCCCAAGTGTTAAAGGATCATCATCCGTTTCTGGGAAACTGCCCACCTACCCCTCCCCTAAGCCAACATGTGAGAAATAAGTGTTAATGTTGGCTTAGGGGATGGCTTGGGTGGGAGGAGGGCTGTTAATGTTGGCTTTGGGGAGAGGTAGGAGGAGGGGCTGTGGGAAACGGAGACTCAGTATGACGTCAGTATCACGCGTTTTTGTTTTGGAAAATCTCACCCCCGCCACGAACTTTTATCCTCTGGAAGATTCTGAATGTTCTCTGATGTTGTCTCTGATTGTTTTTCTGAGAAGCTGATTTATTGCTAGTTTGAAGGTTTTGAATTATAATCTTGAAGATCATCTGACGAAAGTCTACGATTGTGTCCATTTTATTCAGGGCGAAAAAAGACATTTCTCCTCTGTTTCTTTTCCCACTCTTCAACGTTTTTTGCTTTCACAGTAGCGAAACGGGAAGAAAATTGCACTTGCTCATCTCGCCAATTCTCCGCTTTGCTCGTTTATTTCCCGCGCAGACATACAGTGCACAACGAGAACACAGACTGGTCTCACGGTTAAAAAATGGAGCAGTTTCCTGACATAAAACAGAAGTCACTCTCAACAACAACAGTCCTATTCAGGACTACGTTCACCCGGACGATCAAACTCAA